CGCACACGCACACGCACACGCACATACACCTGAACACAAGTACAAGCGCAGGCGCAAACACGCCTGGTTGTTTTATTTTTGGCGGGGGTTCCTCGAGCCTTGAGAAGACGGGTGCGGGAGGTCATCATCTTCCCTATGGCCGTCTTGGCCGCCCTTGTTGTCGTCGGTGCGGGCCTCAGATGCGAGCCGACATGCTTGACACGCGTGCTCATTTCGGGTGTGGTACCAAAGGGAAAACCAACGAGGAACCTATTTAGACAGACGCCTGCATGCCCATCGCAACGCTGTCCACCAAGGGCTGCCTGGATTCATTCATAATTGAACCGCCCATTGGGAGGGCATCCTGGTTTTGACACATTTGCTGAAAACCATGTGGGCCAAACCACACTGGTCATTGACCAGTTTGGGAATTCCAAAATGACGCGAACCAGTTTAGGGGCCGCCTGTTTTGAGAAGCACCCAGAGGAGTCTTGTGGCAGCGAATTTATTTCTCGCGAAATTGCAAGGCGGCGTTGCGTTCGAGTTGTCCGGGAAGGGAAGATACAACCCGAAGGACCAGGGCTGTACGTGATTGAAGCTGAAATTATGACACCATATTGGCGTGTCTTTCTTTTTGAGGGTATCCGGTTGTTGTGGTTGCAAAGGGAAACCAGAAGCAAGGCACCATGTTTCTTTGGGGGCGTTTCCCCCAAAACAGAGACGCCCATATGTGGGTCGTCAAGAGACGGGGGGGGGTGATTTGGCAGGCATTGCAAAAGGTTCCAAGGTGGCGATAGGGATCTCCAATTTGAGAGATGCGCAGGAGACGCCTGAAGAGAAGATGGCCTTCAAGGATGCGCCCGGCGAGAATCAGCTGGAGGTGGGGAATTGAAATTCGCCAGAGTCAGGTCCTGCAAGTGGTTGCCTTTGAGGGGCTTTGGGTGTGGTTTCCGTTGAAGTAGGCCACCCTTTGTCTCCTGGCCATGGGTCAAAATCCCGTACAGCACCCCCAGTGAACATCCCAATCCCCACCAAAATAGACTAAAATGGGTGGTGCACCTACCAACCAAAATGGGATCCCATTGATTTTGCCAACCACAGCCCCCTGTGAGAATTTCCCAGATGTCACTTGCATGGCCCCAGTCAGAGACGGTCTGAGGACACTTCCATCGACAACGCCAAGGCCTCGCAGGCGGTCCGACACGTGGGGATTCGCGGTCAGCCGGGATTCAAATGGCTGCGGTTGTCAAAACCAATGGGATCCCATTGTGGGGGGTTCTTGGTGCACCACCCATTTTAGTTTGTTTTCGCGGGGATGTTCACCGGGTTTCATCCACTCAAGTGCCTGGCGCGGATTTGGGCCATGAAAACGGCTCGGGAGGTGAAATACCCAGCGGGTGTTGAAAGGCGAGTCGAGGAAAAGCTAATTGTCCAGTCCTCAGCTTTTCCGCGGCCAGGACCCAGAGCCCGATAAGTCTGGAGCTCAGGTTGAGTTTGGTTTTTGGGTTCGCGGACGTGCGGTTTCGAACCCGATTCCTATTGGCCGGCGGTCCGTTTTGTTGAACCTGTAGTCGAGTCGAGCTCCATCGCCTTTTCTCTTTTGAATGAGCTCTGGGGTACATCGAGCTCATCCATGAAGCCCAGGCCCCTTGGGGGATTCCTCCTTTTCAATATGTGGAGATTTACTCAGATTCTTCAAATAGCATCATAGCCCCCCTTCGAAGTGACTTGGAGGGGGCGGTGGATGCCAACTCAGTATTGCAAGGGGAATCGTGCGATATGAGCCGCAAGTTTCCGTTCTGGGTTTGCAGATCATATGTGCCATGGTCAAAAGATTGGTTCCTTTGCTGAATGAGTGGCTGCTCAAAGGTCAGCACTGTGAGCGCGTGCTGTCAGGCATTGAAGGCACTTCCGGATTGCGACAACAGCGTGCACTTGTGACCAAGGGTCAGAGCAAGACGTTTGGGAATCTCGGATGGTTCACTTGTCACTTGAGCAACAATCAAATCCCAGGTAGATGAAGATGAGTAAGGGATGGTCCCAACCACATAGGTGCTGCTGCTACCGTTTTGTGAATTCTTTACATGGTGTTGGGTAGACCATTTAAAAACCGTTTGGCTCTTTAAAAAGGTGAGTTGGAAATGGGTCAAAGCTAAACCATAAGGTTTCCATAATATGTTAAAACTTGTTTTATTTAAATACCGAGTCCTCTAGAGTTGGTGAGTTGGCCAGTGTAAGGTTCCATATCTTAAGCGTCTTTGGGGGTTCCTACACCATTTGCATCCTGCAGGGAAATGGTTGTCAAGCATATGGCCCCTGTTTGGACCCCGGTGCTGCCTTGAATTTCGACCACCCCAAGCTGCTGGGTCTTACGCAAATGGGCCTGGGATTTTAACAAAAATCAGTTGTCCACTTAGCCCTGGCCTCTTCCTAGCCACAAGAGCTTCTGATGTGGGGCGACCGTCGGGTGTTCCGAGCGTTTGGGTGGTTTGGATCCGCGCGGCGAGGATCGGCGCTGCGGTGGAGGAGCCGGTGGAGCCGGCGCCGGAGCCCGCGGAGCCCTCTTCCCAGGGAGGGTCAGAGGTGAGGCGGTCATTTGGAGCCCCCCCCCCAAAAAAAAAAAGGAAGAAAACAAGCGCAAAAAGAGAGAGAGAGAGAGAGAGAGAGAGAGTTTTTTTTTTTTTTTTAAATATGCGGTTTGCCGTTTTGGTTGCCCCCGTGTGTGCTTTCCTTATTTTTGGGGCCAACTTTGAAGGGAGAGCATCGCAAATTCAAGACCCAATTCCTTCGTTTTCACTCATTGGGTTCTTGCGCCTAGGGACAAGCCGGAGGTGCCGAACGCGCAGGGGCCTGAGGGGGCCGTGCTTCTGGGTTCCTCAAAATCCGTCCTTCCTTATGCCAGATGGTAGTACTGCAGCTTGCGGATTCGGATTCGGGGACCCATTTTGAGCAAAGCGGTGTGAGGTGTGGAGGGAGAGGCCGAAATGCTTCCAAGAATTGTCTGTTTGTGGGCACAAGGGAATCAATGTAGGGGGCTGCAGGTTCTTGAGGCTGCCACTTTGTGGAAGGGAAAACATTTTGGGTTGGCAAAGCCCGCGGGTCAGGCCTGCCCTTGGTGTTTCGTGTGTCAGGCAAGAGGCGCCAGAGGCGGAGGCGGCGCCAGAGGTAGCGGCTGAGAGTGTCACGGTGGAGGTTGCTGAGGCACGGAGGGTCGGCGCAGCTCCGGGGATTTGCATCTGTTGGGTTTTCCGAATTTTGGGAACCCTGAAAGTTGGTTGGTTCTTCCTGGTCTCCTGAAAAAACCCGTTGCGCGTGAGTGCTCGGTGCTTTTGCCATGTTGCAGGCCCCTGCATCTCCTGAGCCTGAGAAAGCTGAAGAGGCTGCGAAAGCTGAGGAGGCCATCTTTGGCCCGGGACTTGCTTTCTTTTGGTGGGTCTTTTTGCATAGGAGAAAGAAGCCAAGCATCGTGGTTTTCCTTTTGGCTTTCCAGCACGGAAAGGGGTAACCGCGGGTAACCCGGGTTTTTTCTCGGTGACCCGAAAAAAAGGACACGCCAAAAGTGGACTTCCGGCCAGGAGAAGAAGAAGGCCAAGAAGCCGGAGGCAGGGGCTACCCCGCGCCTGCATGCCTGCCTTGACCTTTCACGAGGAGAAGAAGGCCCCGAAGAAGAAGCCGAAAGCCAAACCCAAACCGGAGGAGGAGGCTCCAGAGCAAAGTGTCCCGGGCCTAGCGAATGAGGCTCCGGGCGTGCATGGTTCTGCACAGTGGCGAGCTCACCTGGAAGTAAAACGAGGTCACCATGACAAAGATCCTTTGCTTGGGGAACCCTTATTTCAGGTTTTGGACATATTGTAAGACTTGCAGATAGTCTTGAGCCAGGCTGAATAGATGACTGAATCCTGGTGTCCCTGCTCATTCCCACCATAGCTGGTGCTGCGACCGATGGCGGCACTTTTTCTTCACAAGCCTCTGCCAAGCAGAGATTTCGGCGAACTGGTCCGGAGGTAGGGATGCCATGCGGCTGTATCCCCGAACTATTTCCGGCTAAGTGTTGCTATGTGGGGTGTGTATGATCTACACCTGTACGGAGTTAAACTCCGCAAGTTTACCAGAAGAAGCTTGTAGGGATTGTGCAGCGGAAGCAAGAGAGTGCAACGCTCCAACGCTCGATTCTATCTCACGGGTAGCGCCAGTCAAGCGGCTCCTTCTTTCTGCTGCATGTCTGCTACATGCCTCAGGGAAATTGGTGGAGCCCGGGCCAAGCCCTGCATGTCCACCTGAGGGCGGTCCAAATGAATAGCCAGAGAGCTATCCCTTGCAGATCCCCAAGACAATGTTGACCCCGGATTGATACACCCATCCAATTAATAGGGGGATATTCTCTATACAGTAGTGACCAGGGTTTATTCATCCCGTGTGGCGCATTTCGACTACCCACCTGACTTAGATAATGAGACGTGTGGCTTCGATGGCATTCCGTCGAGCCACAGCACTGCTTTTTGCTCAGCGGCGGAATTTCCGGGATGGATCTTTTTCTCTTCTCCATATCCGGAAATCCTTGAATATTGTCCTGGGGAAATCCGCCACGGATATTGTGGTGAGATGTTCCTTCTTTTTATGGCTGAGTGTTTGAATCACACATTATTCTTGAGAAATAAATATATTTTATGAAAATGAAGAGCTTCTTCCATTTATTCTGTCGAGGATACGATTGATATCTTAAATTCTATTAATCGATATATTGTTGGATAATTTTATTTAAAACAAATAATAATAAATAATAATATATTTATTTTATTAATAATATGATATATTGTTTTTTATAGAATAATGAAGATTTTTAAAAGATATATTTTCATGTTTTAATTTAGCACATATTTTTATATATAGATATATTATTATTTTTTAATTTTATATATTTATAATATTTATTTATATATATATTTATATATTTATATTGAGATATAAAACCATAATTATAGGTTGTGAGACGCTTTGAAGATCGGATTAATCGCGATAAGATCATACTAAAGAGTTAGTGAAAGGGAATTAACTTTAAAAGATTTACGCACGCAATTCTTATAAACGCAAGCGAAGATGCGATCGACCAAAAACGTTTTGGGTGTAAGCAAATCAAATTAATTTCGCTCGTCCAAAAAAAATGAAGAAAAAAAAACCACTAATCGGTCGCGGCTCTAAACTCTCGAAAAATGGTTTAGAATGCAAATATCGAAATATCGGGGATTCGGGTTTTGATCGAAGCTATTGAATCTTTTAAATAAAGAGTCGGGGTATATATTTGTTATATTTGTTTGTGCGTAGTAATGTTAGCTGAAATTTTGGTTTATCTTGCCGAATAATTTAATAATCTGAATAGATTTGCTGGTAGCCGTCGTGGAGGGTAAGGAGAGGGGGGGGAGCGCAGAGAGAAGCGCGTCAAAAACCGTTTCCGACTAGCTCGCTCCACTGGGCGACCAGGGGACAACAGGACAACGGCCACGTGCAACTGGGGCATGCGCAGCCAAGAACTCGCTGGCAGCCCGTCTGCATCACGGCTCTCGGGCTCGGAGTCGGACGCGTGCACGTGCGCAGGCGAAATTTGTCTGTGTCTCTGTCTGTGTCTCTGTCTGTGTCTCTGTCTGTGTCTCTGTCTGTGTCTCTGTCTGTGTCTCTGTCTGTGTCTCTGTCTGTGTCTCTGTCTATGTCTCTGTCTGTGTCTGTGTCTGTGTTTGTGCCTGTGCTTGTGTCTGTGCCTGTGGCTGTGCCTGTGGTTATGGATGTGTTTTTGTCTCTATCTCTGTCTCTGTTTCTATCTCTGTCTGTGTCTGTGTCTGTGTCTGTCTGTCTGTGTTTGTGATTGTCTGTGTCTGTGACTGTCTGTCTGTGTTTGTTTGTCTATGTTTGTCTGTGTGTCTATGTTTATGTGTTGGTATGTCTGTGTCTGTGTGTTTGGGTATTTGTGTTTGTTTTTGTTCCTGTATTTTTTGTTTTTGTTTTTGGGTTCGGTTTTCGGATACGTTATATAGGCTTATTTTGGTTGCAAGACTTATGGACGAATAAGATGAGAGGAGTGGAGCGGTTTGCTTTTAAATTGGAATCGAAATTTGCCTTTTCGAGGTTTTTTTGATTTAGCTTTAAAAAAGGGTGTTATAAAAGGGTATCTAAGTGATAAGATGTAGGTTAATAACAAGACGGTGAAGTTGGCCGATTTTGGCTTAGCTTAAGAGATTCGAGCACATGATTGCTTAGATTGCTCGAAACCGCATTGGCATGGCTTGTTGTGGAACGAACGTATCTATGAAGGACGTTTTTTGGGAGGTTAGAAAAATAGCTTTATTTAGTCATTCCGTTATTATTTTGGTTGAAATATTGCGCCCGTTTTGCGAGAGTTTAGCGATATGAGAACCGATTGTTATGATTAGCGGCGTGTTTCTTAATGTTTTAAGCGACATTAGTTCGGCTTTGCTTGTACCCAGGATGTTTTCCGTTCGATGGTGTTTTCGTGTGCGTTGCCATAAGTGCGTATGGGGATAAATCTTTTGAGGCCAACAATTCACGGGTCCATTCTCTCCTTGTTTACTGACTAAATATCTATATACTGGTATCGGGACAGTGTTGCTTTGTGTATCGCAGTGCTTTAGGCAATATACTGAGGTGTTGTTGAGAAATTCCATCTACAATTCGTCTTTAGATATTTGGGTCTTTAGAATTGGGTCTCCAGTTTAGTGCAGCGCATAATCTTTCGAAGTCTTTTGCTTGGACGGGGTCCAAATCGCAATCATTTATTTTTTCGAAATATTCCGAAATCGCAGTTTGTCAAGCACTTATTCGGTCTATTTGTCTCTGTGAGTATGATCGTGCATATCTATCAAAAATCAGGAATTCATTATGTTGTGAGAAGATTTAATTAAATACAGAAATATTATTTATAAAACGATTATAATATTAAAATTATTTAAGTATCTAAATCTTATTCTCTAATTTTATGTGTTATAAATTATATTACGGTAAAATTATTATTTCCCCTCCCCCTTATTTAATATATGGTTAATACATATATTTTTTAAATGTCTAATTTATATTTTTTTGGTTAGATTTATTTCTCTGCTTTTTGGAATCTAATTTAGTCCTAACACGAGGCCGGGCTGATAAGAAATGAAATTATAATGAGAAAAATATATATCCAATATTTATAAAAAATAATTATAGATATTTCGTATTTCGATTATTAGAAATTTGAATTTGGAATATATTGGGTTTGTAATCATTGCCTTAGCTAATTCGTTTTTTTTTTTTTTCCGCATATCGATAATTTACTATATCGGATTTCTTTAAAAAAATATATGATATTTGTTAAATAATTTTCAATATATTTCATTATGTATTTATTAATTGTTATTATTATATATTTTAGTTTCTATATTATATATTTCATTCTTTTCTTACTCTATGCATTTCACTATCTATTCTATATATACCTTTAAACCTATATATATATATTTCCTTCTATATTTGCCCTAAATATACCTTTGTTTATCTTATTATAAATTTTCCATATATCTGTTTTTATGCACTTCACTCTATACTTGCCCTGTGTATACCTCTATGTACTAGTTTATTGTCAATTCTACGCATATTTGGATATAATTTATTATCTATTCTATTTTTATGAATATTTGTATATTTAATTCTGTTTCTATTTTATATATATATCTATATATTTCATTGTCAACTCTATATATGCCACTATATATATCATTATTTATGTATATTTCTATGTATTTTTCTATATATTCTTTCTATTTATATTTATTTTCTATTTTTTTTAAAAAATGCCTTGTACATACATCTACTTTCCAATTTTTGTAACCGGGTTATAGGGGCATATTTTATATTCTACTTTTCTAAATAGAAATTACGATTTTGCTCTATATTTATACATAAAAAAATAATTTTTGAAATTTAATTTCTATAAATATTCATATACAAACCGCGAAAATATAGGAAGATTCATATAGGACTATCACGAGAATAATCTAACACACATAATCTCTGCATAAAATCGTGCAAAAAATTCGCATGCTTTACAAAATGGATCCGACACGCACAATCCATATAGATATTAATGAATAACATATATAAATTTCCTCATACAATTACAACTATACAAAAAAGAATAAAACATCGCTATGCATTTCATCGTATATTTTGCTTACACAGGCCTCTATAAATTCATTATCTTTGTTTCCTATATATACCTCTAGATTATCTATTTTTCTTATAAATACCTCTTTGAATTATATTATTTATTTTCTTTATATATTTATCGATATATATATATATATTTTAATAATAGTCCTTCATATACCTCTATATATGTATTTTCTATTTTCTTTATATATATTTCCATGGATTTTACTATGTACTTGCCTCATAGTTATATAAATTTATATTAAAATCATTATACGATTTGCTAACACCAATAAAGTACAAGGAATTTTAAGACCCTTTCATTTTTTTCCATAAACATAATGTTAGACATATTGGATATACAAAAGATACAACCACATAACATATAAGAAGAAACCCAATCTTCGCATCCAAAATTTCAAGACTTTCAAACACACAAAATTCACCAACCTTAAGAAATACAAATATTTTTTAGTATTCTCTCAAATCAATTAGCAACCCCCCTCAAAAGAAAAATAGACTTCCAAAAACACGATAATGCAAGAGATATTTCACAATAACTCAAATAGGGAATTATAAAAAATAATAATGTATAAATTCAATCAATTCCTTAATATATTGCTACACTTAATCCCACCTCGACCTATAACAAGCCAATTCTCCACGCTCGACTAGCGTCGACGGATTTCATTGTATATTTATATTCATCCGAGCAAAAATGCCAACCCATTCGAAGAATTGGTTAACGTTCCGGGGAGCGAGCCGAATCAATGCCTTAGCAATTTGCTTTCCTTTACCTTTAGCAGGCGGCAAATTGCCTTTGGTACTGGAGTTTTACAGGTCTATCATCTTGTATAGTCCGTCCATGGCTTCGTCGCGGGTGCCGTCGTGGGACTTATAAGTGTTTATATGGACCATCCCGTCGTATAAGCCCCCAATATGTTATATCCTATCATGAATTGTATTGTCGCCCCCCCATCCCGTTATAGTTAGTCGCCGTGGTGGATATGCCAAGAACAGACCGAATCTTGTAGAGCCCGCGCCGGCAAGACATTTTTTGCAACTCAGGCGCATATATATTTTTACTCTTCGCACGCGAAAAGAATGCTGTTCTCCAAACACAGGGCTAATCGCGATAAGGTCACATTAAAACATCAGTAAAAAGCGATCGCCTAAGCAAAGTGAGAACGAATCCGTAAGCTATTAACCTCAAAAGATCCATCTTTATATGCAATTGCTGCAAACGCAAAGCGAAAACGCGATCGACCAAAAACCATCCTAGGAGTAACCAAAGTCGAAACTCTCAGAAAACGGGTGCAACATTTCATCCAAATTGATTATGCATATGCAAATATATGCCCCGAGTCTTTATCTAAAAGACTCAACGGCTTCGCTCAAAACCCGGACCATTTTCCCGAAATATTCCGGATAGTTCGACAATAACATTTCCCGAAATATTCCAACAATCCCCGAAATATTCGGAATATTTCGAGAAAATGGTAGGTGATTACGATTTTCCCGAAATATTTAAAATATTTTGGGAAAAACGATCCGGCAAATTACATACAAATATAACGAGCAAATTTCATTATTTCATTTATAGAATAAATATATATATATATATTAAACTTACAACCCAACCTCTAAATACACCCTAATTTATACTCCAAATAAACATATTATTTTTTTTAAACTCTATATTACCAACTCAAAGAAAAACATTATAATATTCAACTATAATCTATAATAAACAATCATCAAGTTTATAAATTAAAAAACAAAATTCTAACCATATCCCCAACAACATACAATACTATTTTCAATGGTCGCACCACCCCACAATCTCGTAAAATTCTAATAACACCTTACCTCAAAATCGTCCCAATTACAACCATATCATTTATTTTAATTTTACATTACTTCAAATATTTTTCATAATAATTCCTTCAAATACACAAACATATAATACTTTTATCTTTATAATCATTATTTATACTATAAAATCCTTATTAATATTAACAAATAAAATATTATTGAATTTAAATTTAATTTTATTCAATTCATAATATTGTATAAATCACAATATCTAGCTTATATTTATATATTTATATTCTATTTTATTAATTATTATTAATTCAATTTCCATAAAACCAAATTCCCTTAAAATTTAGCAAATTAATCAATTAATCGAATATTAATATATGTTTTCTTTATATATATTTAATTCTATTATAAATTATTCTTAAATTATATTTTTAAATCAATTATTCATATTCAATTTTTCCTATTCATAATATTTCTATTGTATATATAATAATTCTATCATAAGCAAATATATATCTATGTTTATCAATAATATTTATATATGAATTCATATATTCTATTTGTAAATCAAATATTCAAAATTATATATATATAATATTATTTTTTAATTTTTAATTTCAAATAATCAAATATTTGTTTTTTCAAAATAATTCTCTCAATATACTTCATTTAAAAAAAAAAAAATACCATCAAATTTCTATTTTATATCTTTTTATTTTTTCTCCATTATTTCATACAATATTACCCAAATTTCATTTTCAATATCTTAATCAAATATTATATGCAAATATAATTATTTATCTAACAACCATATTTTTTATATATTGTAAATAAACACATACTATTCTTTGTCTAAACTTCAAAAAGATAAATTTAATAAGATTTGTAGTAGCAAAAGGCACGGTACAATAATTAAATCATATAATTAGAAGGGAATGGATGTCTAATGTTAGAGATATATTTGCCTTATAATATAAGATCATACCAGAGAAGAAAGGGGTTCGTGCATGTTTGCATGATGTATTAGTGCATCCAGAAGCGCCCACAAACATGTGTAAACTTTCGCAAGTGGAAGAGCGCTGTCGTTAGGAGATGCTCAGAAGGTTATGTTATTTGCTCATGGCTTGCACGAGGTTGTTTTTGATTGTCTTTGTATGTGCGCGAGTTTGCATGCGCGGCGCTCTGGACTGTCTGGGTTGGATCTTGTGGAAAACATCCTATTGGCCACGTTTTTTTTTAACAGGCACTTGCAACTGGAGGGGCTGCTGGGCGCGCGGTCTCATAGCAGTACTTTCAACCATGGGAGAGAATATTGTGGGAGGCGCACCGCTCTGCGATTTAGTGTCGTGATCGGAGCTGCAGGTGCATTCACCGCAAATGCTAGATTTGTGAAAGGGGCGATGCTCACTCGTACTTGAGGTGACTTGCTCCTTGTGTTTCTTGGGCTGGCGTACCACCCAGACTTGGGTGATATTTTGCCGCTTTCTGCCCCTATGCATTGGGTCTTCGGGCCCATGGGCTTCGCTCGTGAAAACAGATGCGATGCGTAATGCAGAATTCAAATGCGTTTCTTGGCTGCGAAATTCAAAATCAAGTTCTCACGGGCTACAGGGGTTCACCTTTCGGAAAATGGTCCAACCCAGGACCATTCCCAGTCAAGTCTTATGTGGATTGGGTAGAGAGCGGCAATCTGCCTCATGGCTTCCTCAACTTTCGCTATTTTGTTCGAACTACTGTTCTGGCCCAGCGGATAACATGTAGCTTTTGACCTTGCAACATGTAAACCTGGAAGCAACAACGGGGTTCATCAAAAATTGTTGATTAGGATGATGTTTGCCCCACAAAGAATCAACTAGGGCTTGATGAATCCGTGTTTTCAAGTGGCGCTCACGGAGAAACCTAACAGAATCACAGGCAACCGTCCAAACAACAATCCGCAAAGTGAGGGCCTGGCAAGCTCATGACAAGCCAACTGCGCAACCATCGTTTTGCACGTAGCTCGGGCGCAGAATAAGATGACTTAACCAAATTTCCGAGGCACATAATGCACGATGTCAAACATTCCTGGCTTGCAAAAGTCGACGGTCAAAGTTTCTGGGTCGAAGTTTGACTGCAAAGTGTGAGTGGCTCATGGGACATTTGGGCTGGCGGCAACACACACCCAGATTCTTTGGGAATTCGACGGCTAATCAAAGATGCTGTCAATTAATTCATCCACATCGCACAGTGGGATGTCGCCCTTTGGAGCAGCACTCTGACTTGATGACGCTGCATCGGAGGTCAAAGGCGCATGCAGTGCATCTTCGGCCGCCTCCACTTTCTCCGCACTAAAGATATTATCCAGCAGGGACTCCACATCCACATAGTCCCAGTGCTTATCCTTGCTTTCCACCGCGCGCATTTCGAGCTCCGTTGGCATCTGTCGAGAAATGCTCGGGCTGTTGGCCTTCTTAGGCCTGGGTCTCCGCTTCGCATTCGAAGGGTTCAACGCCGTCCTGAACGACTTCCCCTCAGTTGCAACTCACCGGTTGCCATTCAAAGGTTTGTTCAAGGGACATTGTGACATGGACCCTGTCCTTTCCACCTTCCTCTTGGGCTCCGTCTCCTGCCATGCCTTGCGGAGGCTCTCCAAAAAAGTGGCCAAGTGCTGGAAGAAGTTCTCATACCTCAGGTGACTGACCCTCCTGATTGGCACGGAACCTGACGTTCGGGAAGGTCCCGGTTTCGACCATTGTCCTTTTCAAGGGACCGGCTGTCAGGTCTGTGAAAAGGGTGGGAGGGGAACCTGCAAGCTCGTTACATCTTTTGGCGGCTAGAAACAGAACAGGAAGGAAGCCCAAATTCCAAAGGGCCTTCTCTTGGCCGAAGTTATCGGACAAGTGTCTCAAGGACTCGTGTCAGGCTTCTGTCCAAGGGCAACTGGCCTCGTCATTTTACCATCAAACCCCCCTTACGTGGCAGGTTCAGAGAAGCAACACCCGTGCTCATGTTCGTAGCCTCCAGAAAGTGTCAAGTTCATTTCCCCGAAAAAAGGGGGCTGAGAACTTAGTCTGGCCGCGGAGGCGTTGTGCCATTTTGGGCTTCCTCCGTGCAGAAGTAGCGCTGGGACTTGTTGCACGCCTCGAACGCGTCTGTGAGAGCCTCCGGGCAAAGAAAAAAACATATTCCCCAAAAATATGTTTCTGTGTGGTGACCCGAGGTTGGTTTGGTTGGTTGGTTGGTTGGCTGGCTGGTTGGGATGGTTGGTTCATTCCATCTTTTTGGACGAACGGGGCCCTTGATTGGTTGAGCACCCGTTTCTTGGGAACAGAACCCGCGGAAGAACTATTGAACCCACCAAGCCGAGACAAGTCTAACCTCTTAGCTTTAGGGCAAGCATGGCTTGACCACTATTATTTCAGCTTCTCTCTAAGTGGCTTGGATTGGTTCAGGGGGCAGTTTCCCATCTACCCTCAAGAACCAGTGCAAATCCAAATGAAAACTTACCCTCGACAAGAACCAGTGCAAATCCAAACTAAAACTTGCCCTCCACAAGAACCAGTGCAAATCCAAATCCAAACTTACCATCCGCAAGAACCAGTGCAAATCCAAACTTACCCTCCACAAGAACCAGTGCAAATCCAAACTTACCCTCCACAAGAACCAGTGCAAATCCAAATCCAAACTTACCCTCCACAAGAACCAGTGCAAATCCAAATCCAAACTTACCCTCCACAACAACCAGTGCAAATCCAAATCCAAACTTACCCTCCACAAGAACCAGTGCAAATCCAACTCCAAACTTATCCTCCACAAGAACCAGTGCAAATCCAAATGAAAACTTACCCTCCACAAGAACCAGTGCAAATCCAACTCCAAACTTACCCTCCACAAGAACCAGTGCAAATCCAAGCTTAAACTTACCCTCCACAAGAACCAGTGCAAATCCAAATCCAACCTTACCCTCCACAAGAACCAGTGCAAATCCAAATCCAAACTTACCCTGCCCACCAAGAACCAGTGCAAATCCAAATCCAAACTTACCCTCCACAAGAACCAGTGCAAATCCAAATCCAAACTTACCCTCCACAAGAACCAGTGCAAATCTTACCCTCCACAAGAGCCAGTGCAAATCCAAACTTACCCTCCACAAGAACCAGTGCAAATCCAAATGAAACTTACCCGCCACAAGAACCAGTGCAAATCCAAATCCAAACTTACCCGCCACAAGAACCAGTGCAAATCCAAATCCAAACTTACCCTCCACAAGAACCAGTGCAAATCCAAATCCAAACTTACCCGCCACAAGAACCAGTGCAAATCCAAATCCAAACTTACCCGCCACAAGAACCAGTGCAAATCCAAATCCAAACTTACCCGCCACAAGAACCAGTGCAAATCCAAATCCAAACTTACCCGCCACAAGAACCAGTGCAAATCCAAATCCAAACTTACCCGCCACAAGAACCAGTGCAAATCCAAATCCAAACTTACCCGCCACAAGAACCAGTGCAAATCCAAATCCAAACTTACCCGCCACAAGAACCAGTGCAAATCCAAATGAAAACTTACCCTCCACAAGAACCAGTGCAAGTCCAAACTTACCCTCCACAAGAACCAGTGCAAATCCAAATCCAAACTTACCCTCCACAAGAACCAGTGCAAATCCAAATGAACACTTACCCTCCACAAGAACCAGTGCAAATCCAAACTTACCCTCCACAAGAACCAGTGCAAATCCAAATCGAAACTTACCCTCTACAAGAACCAGTGCAAATCCAAATCCAAATTTACCCTCCACAAGAACCGGTGCAAATCCAAATGAAAACCGCTAAATCGTGGACACCTGATTGAACCAACCGCCGCCTCCTGAAGCTCATCCTGCTCCCTGTGCAAGTCCCCTGCCAGTAGCTGCATGGATGCCAGAGCCGTGCCGTCCTGTCCAAGGATCCAACCACCGCCGAAGCTGGGGCTGACCACTGACTAATCTTGGTTTCTGTTGACCCCTCTGCAAAAAGTTAAGCACTTTTTGCGGGTTTAGTGGAAAACCCCCTTGTTTCCAAAAAAGTTAAAGTCTAAAGATCCAACCCAATAGCAGTCAAGTAATGAACCCCTCGCTGAGAGGGGAACCTCCAGTCAGGGCAAATGGTGTTTGTCAGAGGTCTTCAGACCTCGCCAGCCTCGGCTCCCCATGTCTTGTGTATGAACATGACAAAAATGCACTAAACCACTGTTTTTCTGACTAAGAGAGACTGAGCACACATCTCAACTCCACAACTTCCTCCCCCCAAAGGCTTAGATCAACAAGAATCACCCATGCTCCAAGCACACTGTGCCGCTGAATGATTAGTCTTCGCGTATGTGTAGCTGTGAGTGCACTCAACATCTAATCATGTCGTCAACATCCTGGCGTACCCTTCGGGTGTGGCTTTTAGAGCTGTGTAGCAACAAATGTCAGCGGGGCCCCGTCCACAACAAACACAATTTTGACCAGCTAGATTTTAAGTTTAGAACATGCTGCAGCTAACCGACACTGCTTTCCCATGAAGACCTTCATGGGTTCATGTTGAAGCATGGGCAACCACAAAATGCAGCGTCCCTCAAAGCATGCACGTCGGTCCGCTAGAACAAGCACACTTTTTCCAGCTGATGTAGCGGAGCCCCTGGCAACGCAGGCGGTTTTTGGGATGTCATCCTGCGACCGAATCCGTTTAAAACAGCGCGTCTCCTCGATGTGCTGCAGCTCGCGGTCTGCGAAGTCTACTTCTTGTTGGAAGGCCTGCACGCTGGACCTGGTCGAAAGGGGGTCCCTTGGTGTCGATGCAAAACGTGGGGGATACGAACGAAAAGGGAAAGCCTGACTGGGAAGCTGGGGATCCCTTGAAAGGGACCAAGAGGTGGCACCGAAAGCAAAAAACGAGACCTGGGTCCGAATTTGGGACCTTCGGCCCGCCTCAAGTTGGAGCTCTTTTCCCGAGCTGCCGCCGGAATATTCCGCAAGCTGGACGCGAGCAGATCCGCGAAGTTGGGATGCGCTTGCCTCAGGTTGGGAGCAGATCTGATGTCCTGACAACAAAAAGAGCTGTTCGCTAGGGGACGATTCTCCCGGGCATTTTGGGTTATGTAGCACCCCTCCCAGATACCTCCTGCCGGGGTTTGACTTTGCCCTTTGCCGTTAACAACAAAAAACAAAAACTGACTTGGCTCACCAAGGGTTTTGCGTCCTTTGGGTTGGGCCGCAGCCCCCTCTTTTTCAAGGTTAGCACCACCCCAGCGATCATTTGCATTTCTGCACCCGAGCCTCAGCGTGGAGCACAAGAAGTGCAGCGTGGAGACGTTGCCGAGCTTGAAGCTGGTGATGGCTGGGAGCGTTTCGATTGAGAAACCGCTGGCGCCACCCACCTGGAAGCCAAAGAAATCGTTTCATGACGTTTTTTGGTTCGGTCTCCAATTTATTTGAGGGCCCCCCAGGCCAACCCTGACCTTCATGCCGTGATTGATGTAGTTCCCAACCCGCAGGATGATGGTAAAAACTTGGCGCAGCTCCCGGCTGGTCATGGCTTCTGTGGCGGCGTCCTTCAAGTGCAAACACCGTTGCTGCAGCAACTGCGCGGTATCCGCGTGCGAGGATGCCAGCTGCAAAAGCCGCAGCCGAGCTGTGGCTCGAGGCAAGAAACAGAAGGGCAAGACCTTCTGCTCGATGTCGCGCAGCACCTCCGGGGCATCTTTGTGCACTTTCAGCTTTTGAGTCTCCTCGAAAGTGGGCAGAACTCCGGAAAGCAGCTCCACCAGATCGTCGGACAACGCCAATCTGCCGAAATCCAAGCATTCCAACGCGTCGCACAAATCCACGGAAGTGACTGGCAACTTGCTGAGGACGATAGCGATGTTCTGTGCCCGGGACGCATCGAGCACCTACGACTTCGACATTGGCAAAGCGACTATCAGCCGAATAACATTTGTCTCAAAATGGGTTGCACCCCGCAAATGGGAAGCTTCCTTTGGTTTCTGTTTCAAACACCCAAAACAGGGTTCGTCAAAGGATACATTCACAAGGGAATCCTCTGACTCAGGAGGGCAAAAGTTATCTTGACTGGCCCAAAATGCATCCACGCTGAAAAAGATCTGCAAAAGGCCACCTTCAAAAAGACGGCGCAAATGATGCAATCTCGCCTTGATTCCGTCCGCCTTCTTCTGGATGGAGCTTCGTCTTTTCCCACCGCCTTTGCCTTCCCCACCTGCATGCGGCATCCAAAAAACGATGTCCAAAGGGTCCCCAACCAAAAATCAGACCTTCCCAAACCTTGGAATCATGCAGTTTTGGAAGTCTTGCGTGCCCGTGCGCGGGTTGATAGTCATCCCCGACCTGAAAACGGGCACCTTTGTCAGGTCGCGATCAAACCCCTTTGTGAGGTTGCACGAACATTTCTAGGATTTCTACATTTCCAACGCTTTCACTGGCTTCTGCTACCCCACTGCCAAGGGGTGATATATATATATATATATGCCCCTTATAAAGTGGCTATGTAGTCGCCAGCACAACTTTCTCTTTGGGGTAGCCGTTTTCGCCGTTTTTTCTTTTTTTCTGGTCGTGGAAGAGTAGATGTCCTTTAAAACAAAAGCTTTGGTAAATGATTAGAACTCACACCAATTGCTATATCTACGGCTTTTCGACTTTCCTGCTTCTCCGATTGCATCGCCATGGGGGATCGCGCGTAAGCCTACAGGAAATCTAAACAAAAAGCGCGACACCAACGCATTGCTGCAAGCATCGCCAAAAAACGCGGCTTGATCTGACAGGTCCAAATCCAAAAGGAACGTCCCCCCATTCACAAAATGAGGTCGCTCATTCTAGTGGCATGACTCCTGCGCCGAAGAATGCCCCCCACCCCCACCCCCCCCCCAAAAAAAAAGAAGAAGAAGGGGAAAACAAGAAAAGAAAAAAACACACACACACACAGACACAAAACACTGGCGGTTTTGAAGGTGGATGGATTCGATTCTCCGCTTTTTGTTGGCTCAGGGGCTCATCAAAGAGGCCAAGACGTCTGCATCGAAGTCGATGGCAGGCGCTTCGCCGAAGACGGTGTCGTGATCTGGCTGGCTGTACCGCGGTTGCACCTGGAGGCGATATTTTCTGATTTTTGGATGTGTGGTCTGGGCCTTTATATAATATATAAATATATATATATATATGTATTTTGTTATTTTGTTTTCCTTATTTATAATTTATGAGGCACTGTTTTCTGGGGTTTGAGCGGAAAAACCCGGAAGCCCAACCACAACCCCCAGCGAGCCCAAGCCGAGGTCCAGAGGTGGACGCTCCCTTCGCTTCCGAGTGGCCCAATGCATTCGTCGTCCGAAAGGCGCCGGGGCTGCGGAGGCTTTTGGTTTCGCCTCCTTCTCCTTCGCTGTCCGAGGCTCGGTGTCAATGGCGTGTCTTTCTAGTTGGAACCGCCTCTGTTAGGGGCGACCTAGAACAGGAGAAGCCACCTGTTTGTAGTCCTCGTTTGGACGCGTCTTATTGCCTTCATGTGGGGTGCCTCAACTGGAGTTAAATGGAGAAAATCGACAGACACACACACACACAGTCACCAGGCCAAAAACTGGAGGATGAGACGCATGTTCCAAGCGCCGCCATTGCTGCCACGTTGCTCCGGCCTCTTTGTTTCCCTTTCCCTTCGGAGGGCCCTTGCCTCAAGCATTTCGCACAAAGGGAAGCAACGCGCTGGTGCCACCAACTTATTATTAAGACCAAAACAAAACCAATCGAAACCTCTTCCGAACATGGAACCGACCAGACTGCCCCAAAGGTGAATGGTCCATGCTCCAGGCATGCTCCATGCTCCTCAATTTGCTTAGGCCCACTGGGAAAAATCAGCAATGTTTCCCATAGTGATAGCTTCCCTTTAAAACCAACAGGGGTTTCAATACCTCGTGTCCTTCAGCCAATGGAAGCTGTGAGTCTCTCTGAGCGGGTGGTCCGGGCACCGAAACGCCCACCGCTGACGCATGCCAAGGTGCCCTTCCCTTTGGGAGGAGCAGCCGGGCCCTGCGATCCGTTCGGACCCAGCGGGCTGGGGAGCGGGTTGGGGTGACTTGGCTAACTTCCATTCAAGCTGTCAGCACATGCCTCCCTTCCTGAGTTGGTCGTCCGGAACAAGCCCTTTATGTTTGTCACTAAAAAGGGCTTCCCAACCAGTCCAACTCAGGAAGTCAACGGGTAGAAAACCCAACCCCCATCCATACCATTCTGTCCTTTCTTGAGTTCATCCGAGCAAAAAGGCGAACCCGTTCGAAGCACTGGCTAGCTTTCCGGGGAGCGAGCCGAATCAGCGCCTTGGCAGCTTGCTTTCCTTTGCCTTTGGCAGGCGGCAAACTGCCTTTGGTGCTCGAATCCTGGCAGATCTTCCCCTGCAAACAGTTTAACTTTTTGTGGGTCCAGTGGAATCCACTGTTTCCCAACAAGTTCAAGTCCAAATCTCCAACGAAAGAGATTAGATTTCAAATCACCGAAGACCCACTTCCGGGAATCAAAGCGAACCCGGAGGCGACTTCACTGGCACCGACTTGAGAAAAAACAAAACACAATTACTCCGACTCAAGTCCTCACGCTTTTCCGCTTTGGCCGGGGCCTGCGATGTTTCATCGAGCGGGTCTGCGTGGCATACTGAAAAAGGGAATATGGCAGGAACATGGTATGGCACGCTGCCAGGTATGGTTTCTCGTGATATGTGCCGAGCGGCCGTGGCACTTTTAGCAGTCGCAGCTGGCCTTTCCCTGCGGGCGGAGGCATCAAACCTACCTAGGCTCCTTACTCCGAGGCTTTCAAGGAATTGAGGAGGTCCACCCAAAAGGCTCACAAGGGTGGCTTTTTGAACCTATTTCTGACCTTTACACCTATGGCTTGATTCGGATCCCGTTGCTGGCCCAGCTGAGTTTTAGGCTTTGGAGTTTCGCCGTCGTTGCCAAAGTATCCCTCGTACAGCCTAAGTCCACGCGGGCAGACCGCCGAGTCGCTTTTGACCGAAACCTGACCGGTGGGTTTTTGTCGAGAAAATGGGCGCCTTCCTTTGTTTTATTTGAGGGCACGGCCCCCCTCCAAAAACAAGCGAAAGCAAAGGCCCTGGAGCCCACAGCCAGGAAGGGTTCTAAGAGCTGATCGAAAGATTCCGTTCGAACCTGGGGGGGCGGGGGGGAGCCAGTGCGGCTCGGCTTTCTCAACTCGTCAATCTGTGCTTGGATCCGTCAACCCCAAGGTAAAACTGGGTTCGTTGCAAGAAACATCCTCAAACAAATGCCATCCAAATGGCTTGAAAGGGGGCTTCCCATCCCCAAAGTTTTTTTTGGTTTTGAGAAGCCACACCATGTTAACTTTACGACACCCGCTGAAATCGAAGAAGAAAGACAGGTGGGTCAGTTTCCCCGCTGCAGCTCAGCCAGGGGCGAAAGGTCCAGTGCTGCCTGAGAACACGGCACCGCATGCACCGCGCCCTGTCCCCCGAGTTTCCCTTCAAATCAACAGGGGAAACTGTTTCTCCTCCTGTGGAGATGGCTTGGGTTTCATGAGGTTTCATCCACTTCATCTGCCAAGCGGATTTTGCCCAAGGGCATTCACTTGGTTGACGTTGGAAGGGGAGCAAACATCTATTTTTTTTAGCAGTTCAGTGGTTGGATTTCAACCACTAAGCCATAATAAGCAACACATGTGCAAACTGTTTTCCAACAACAACCGACTTTTGCAAAAACAAATGCAGAAGCGATCGAGATTTCCCCAAAATGTAAAGATGTAAAGTGTTCAGCTCCAACTTTTGTTTGATTCTTGGTTGGAAGGGCGGCTGAAGTCGCAAAGACGCCTCATGGGCCTCCTCCGAGCTGGGCTCCTCGGCTTGTGAAGGCCAGAGGTGCACCGAACCGAAAAACCGGGGGTTTGGTCTGAAGAGTTGCGGGGAAGCCAAAGGAAAACCATTTTTTTCTGGAACTGTGGTGTGGTGTGCATCTTTTGGGGAGCTGGGAAAGAGGCATTTGCTGACACCGGATTGAGAAACCGGCTCTGGAGGTGTGGTCTGAAGTTTTGGAAGGCCCCTCGAATGATGGGAGCCCAGCATGGATAAACCTGCGTTCAGGGAACTCCTTCACGTGCGCTTTTGTGGGACATCAATTTGAGGGACGTCACTGCAATGGACTCAGTCATTTGCCCCATTTTTCCAGCTGAACTGTCCTTTTTTTCCCAGTTGCTGGCCCCCCCCCCCTTTCAGAAGGGCGGATTCAGCATCACGCGTTTCTGGAAGCGGGAAGCAGTCCTCCGTCAGGCTCCGCCAGAGTGATTCTCTGCAGGTGAGCCCAGAGCCGGCCTGCGTGACTTTTCGCGTGACCTTTGGAAGCTGCAGCCCAAAAGAGTGACTCGTGTGACTCGGCGCGGCGTGGGGTTTTGAAAGCAATGAGCTAACTCAATGTGCCTTGCCTTAGTCTCAATGGGAGCTCCTTTCCTATCATCTTGTCACTTAAGTGGGACACCAACCAGATTCTCACTTTGAACACCCCCCAGAAACAGAAGCAACACAATGACCCCAGTTGCCAACTATGTGTTAAGTCTCCCACAGAACTTCCATTTGCCTAAGTCCCCTGGAACAAATACAAATATTTCCGGTGATCAATTCCCTTCAAGACCAACAGGGGAAAATAAAGCATATTCGTTTCAGCAAATGCAAACAAAGGGAAGGACAAGGCTGAGTGGCCAAAGGCCAGCAAGCAGCAAAGCGACCGCTGGCAGCTTGCTGCAGCTCTGCCGTCTCGCTACCTGACGGGGAAAAAAACACCAAACAAAACAGTATGATGCGTGAGCCATAATTAGAGTTCCCTCAATTTTCGGCGTATCCTCAAGGGGCACCGTGGCTGGACGGAACCGTTGCGCACTACCCAAGAAACCATGAAATTATTTGATCACGTAAATGCCCATCATGGCTTCAACAAGGGTTTCTCAACGGTGCGAAATGGATTTTGGAACCATCACAGTATGTCAAACACCGTGCGGTTTTGCCTGTGGTTTCCTTTTAAAGCCATCCAAAAACGGCACCCCCTCAAAAAAAGACAGACCCATATCGAGCGATCCTTTCGGTGTTTTGCTCGCGCTCGCTTGCGCCTAAGTCCAGGCCAATCACTGAGAGCGCGGATGGACGTCGCAAGCCCCATCTGCTTCTCAAACGCTCCGCTCCTGCCTGCGTGACGCCCGTGGATTGCTACATGAGTCTCACGTTTTGTTCGTGAGGGGACCCCTCGAAATTGGCGGTTTCCCTTTTGGCTTCTCCTTAAAACCAAGCAAAAAGGGGGAACCCTCAAAAAAGGCGCTGCCACATCTGAACAAAAGTCCATCCCCGGCCTTGTGGTTGACAATTCTATGCCCCTTTCACAGTTGGAACAGGCAAGCAAAAATAACTTTTCTTGATGCCATTTTGAAGCTCGGAGCATCCAAGAAATTAGGGTTGGCTTCCTTGTAGTTAGCCTTTGAAACAACCAGCAAATTGTGTGGCTATCCCCCCCTGGGAAAAAGGCTTCACTGTTTGTGGTTCGTGGCAGAAAACACGCATTCTTCCGGCAACAAGTCAACTAAAGGTGAAGCCTTCAGTTGGCAGCCAAGAAACTCAATTGCCCAAGGGACACACATATAGAAGGTGAGATCGCCTTTTGGGTCGACTTAAAAATTGGCACCAACATGAAAAATAAGCAGGTCAGTTCAGGTCGCGGCCAGGCCACCCCCAACCGAAATCCAACCACGAGCTGATTTAGCCGACTTGGCGGGGCCACCAGACTTGCCCTCTATTGATCCTCTGGGCCGTCGAGCAGATCCCCCGCTAACAGTTTAACTAACAGTTTAACTCGGTGAAACCCCGGTGGGTTCAATGGAAATCCCCGGTGAAACACTAAAAAGCCTTAAAAAGCTATAAAAGCTAAAGCCGTAAAAAAAAAAAGAAGCTAAAAAACGGAAAAACACCCTAAGGGGACGGCTGAGGATTTATCCCCAGTCCCAGTTAAGGGGCCACTCGCGCTCCCGGGTTTGTCACCTCGCGCTGAGCCTCGTCCAGCGGCTCCTCTGCCAAGCGACGGCTGGCCGCATCCGCCAAAGCGGCCCGCGCGGCCACGGCGGCGGTCAGCGAGTCCCGGCCCTCGCGCCCCACCTGAAGCCGAGGTTCCGGCTGTCGTCCCAATCATAACCCGATCGGTATGAAGATCTTGTGGGTGGGCAGGGAATGAGAAAGGGAATGACCCGATTAAAACCATCCAACCGGTGGCTTCCTTTAAGAGGACCCCTGGTTTGATCGGTATGAACATCTTGCTGCTGCGATAGGGAATGAGACATGGAATGACCCCGGGTTAAAACATCCAACCGGTGGTTTCCTTTTTAGGGGCCAAAGCCTGGGTTCATTCCCAATTTCCCTACTGAGCACCAGCAAGAAATGGTCCAAGCCCAAATTCATGCTTCTGGAAAATAAAAAAAAGGCAGCCGCAACTATTTCCGGCTAGGACTGCTCCTAAGTTTCATCTATCCAGGTTTTGATTGTGGCTCAGGAGTCTTCCCAATGCTAGACGCAAAAGGTGAGTACTAAATATATTTCGATAGGCAGGGAATGAGGGAATGACAACTATACACAATCCCCTATGTCTTCCTTTCAGGGAAATCTTATTCATTCCCACAACTCGGAAGGTCGTTCCCTGAGCACCAAGATATGGACTGTACACCCCTGCTTAAAGTGTAAACTGTTGGTTGGCTAAATGGACCCCAAACCAACTAAAGACCTCAAAACCTCAACAGGACTGGGAAGCACCAAGAAAAGGACTGCAACCCCCAGGAAGTCTTCCTCAGGTCAGCTTTAAGGCTCGGATTTGGAGGATGCCCGCACATCCCCGGCAAACGCAACCAGGGACCTGGGGCAGGGAAGGCTTGTCGCTCGTAGCCTCAGGTTTCAGTGGATGGATGCCGCTTGGCGCATCAGCCCGGGAAAGTGCCACCAAAAAACGTGCTCCAGCCCGCGAGAGGCTCGCGCCTGGGCTTGGGCCAAGTCAAGTGATTCGAGGCCCCAGGGGGAGTCGAGGCTTAAGCAGCGCTTGTCCTGCGCGGAAGCTTTGGCTGGCGGCTTTTGTTTGATTTGGTGGGCACCCGTCCCTCCATGTTTAGTTGGTTTTAAAGAGACACCCCAGGGCAAATTTGAAAAACATACGGGTGACCCCCTCTTGCTTGTTTTCGAAAAGGGATCCAAACAGAGACCACTGTCAGAACCGGTCTGACACAAGGGCAAGCTGTCCTGAGTGCTCGCTGCGGCCAGTGCAGCCAAAGCTTTAGCCCCCGCGCTGCCCACGGGGTTGCCCCGCAGACTCAGCACCACCACGCCTCAGCCGAAAGGCAGAAAACAACCCGCTCTGCGACCTTGGGCACCGGGTTCCATTCCTTTTCGCGCGGATTCGGATGACTTACGCCCAGTACTCCGAAAAAAGGAACGGGGACTGTCAGCCATGGGCATCTGTCATGCAAACAGCCCGCCTGTGCCGCCCTCTTCTGTTGCATTCAGCTGCCTGGCGGAAGCAACGCGCTTGTGTGAGTCGCAACAGGCAATCAGCAGCGGGCCTCTGCGCGTGCCTCAGCAACGAGTCGCGGAAACCGGAAACCCAGTGAAACAAATCGGAACACATGATAGGTGGCACTTCTTTTTTAGGGGGCCCCCCGCCCAAAAAACACTACGAGAAGATGACGGACTACGGGAAGATGACGGGAAGCTGACGGACACGGGAAAATGACGGAAGACTACGGGAAGATGACAGAAGACTACCGGAAGATGACGGAAGACTACGGGAAGATGACGGAAGACTACGGGAAGATGACGGGAAGCTGACGGAAGACTACGGGAAGATGACGGAAGACTATGGGAAGATGATGGGAAAATGACGGAAGACCACGGGAAGATGACGGAAGACTACGGGCAGATGACAGAAGACTACGGGAAGATGCGGGAAGAAGACGGGAAGATGAGGGAAGACTACGGGCAGATGACCCTAATCTAACCCTAACCCCTAACCCTAACCCTTAACCCTAACACCTCTAACAGCAACCTCTAACCCGAATCCTAACCTCCAACCCTAACCTCAAACCTTAACCTCTAAGCCTAACCTAACCTCTAACCCTAACCCTAACCTCTAACCTCTACGGGAAGATGACGGAAGACTACGGGAAGATGACGGAAGACTACAGGAAGATGACGGAAGACTATGGGAAGACTACGGGAAGATGACGGAAGACTGCGGGAAGATGGCGGAAGACTACGGGAAGATGACGGAAGACTACACGAAGATGACTGAAGACTACGGGAAGATGGCGGGAAGCGGTAAAAACGGTAAAAAACGGTCCTCTAGCCTCACCCCCCTAACCTCCAACCCAGATGATGACGAAGACGGGAATGATGATGATTAACGATGATGGTGATGATGACGATGCCGATAATCATGATGATGATGCCGATGATGATGGGTGATGATGATGATGATGAGCTGATCATGATGACGGTGGTGATGATGATGATGGCGATGATAATGTTGATGGATGATGATGATGATAATGATGATGATGCAGATGATGCTCAGGATGAGGACGGTGATGATGATGATGATGGATGATGATGCCAATGATGATGATGATGGATGGTGATGATGATGGGTGGTGGACGATGATGATAATGATGCCGATGATGATGATGGATGGTGATGATGATGATGAATGATGAATGATGAGTGATGAATGATGAATGATGATGGTGATGGTGGTGATGATGATGATGATGATGATGATGATGATGCTATTGATGATGATGGTGCTGCTGATGCTGATGATGCTCAGGGTGATTACGATAATGGCGATGAGTCAGCATCATCTCATTCATCAGCATCAGCAGCATCATCGTCATCATCCTCATTATCATCAGCGGCAATCATAATCCAGCATCCTTCTTCAGCATCATCATCGTCATCGCCATCATCATCCGCCTCATCATCCCTAGCATCATCCCCAGCATCATCCTCATCATTGTGCACGTGCCTGGGGCCATGCTTTGCATGCTGGGGATGCGGGGGCTGCCTTCTTGGTCTTTGATAGTTGTAGAAAAAGGCAGCTTTTGCATCCCCAGCTTCACCAGCATCCTCCTGCAGGTGCCCGGGGTGATGCTTTGCATGCCGGGGCGGTCTTTTTAACGTTCAAAAATAGTAAAAACAGAGAGCAGCTTTTGCATCCCCCGCTTCACCAGCATCATCCTGCAGGTGCCCGGGGTGATGCTTTGCATGTTGGGGATGCAGGAGCTGCCTTTTTGGTCTTCGAATGTCAGGAAAAAAGGCAGCTTTTGCATCCCCCGCTTCACCTGCATCATCCTGCAGTGCTTTGCATGCTGGGGATGCGGGTGCTGCCTTGTGAAAAAAAGAAGCTTTCGCATCCCCAGCTTCGCCGGCGTCATGCTGCAGGTGCCTGGGGTGATGCTTTGCCTGCTGGGGATGCTGGAGCTGCCTTTTCCGTCTTCGAAAATTGGGGAAAAAGGACCCCCAGCTTCGCCAGCATCGTCCTGCAAGTGTCTGGGGCAAGGTTACGTCTGCGCGGGATGCAGAACCTGCCATCATCCATATCATCAGCATCGTCACCATCAGCATCATCCATCATCATCATCGAATCATCATCATCATCATCATCATCATCATCATCATCATCATCATCCATCATCATCATCCTCATCCTCATCATCCGTCATCATCATCATCATCATCATCATCCATCATCATCATCATCATCATCATCATCCATCATCATCATTGTCCTCATCATCAGCATCATTCATCAGCATAACCATCATCGTCATCATCGTCGTCAAGTCATCATCATCATCATCATCCTCATCAGCGTCGTCATCATGCTCTCGCTGCTTCCCTGTTGTGGAAGCTCCCACTGCTCGCGACTACCTTGTTCCGTTAGAGCTTCCAGGTTGGCCTCTGCGGGAGGTAAGTTCAACCCACTATACAATGAACATTGCTATCGAACGACCGCTGGGCAAATAGGGGGGGGTTGTGTTCGCTCAAGTTGCTGGCCGAGGACTCTGGCCAAAGATCACACGAAGCAGTTCTGACCCATGGGCATGCTTGCTCGTCTGCTTTGCCCACGGACACTAGCTCATCTCAAGGTTTCTTGCTTTACGGGGGTCGGCGGCATCAGGCCTCAGCCTGCTAAATCCGGCTACGCCTCCTGGGGTAGCATGTCGCCGCTAGGCAATTAGCCTGCTAGCTTTAGCTATAGGGGCTGCACCCTGGTCCTCGCCAGGCTTGCGGTTTTGCTTGCCTGTGGGAAACCCTCGCCAAACATCGCGTATATGCAGAGTTTAGGCCATGTGGCTGACATCGCCAGGGTCTGGGGATGGGCCTGGGTGATGCTTCAGCGGGGCTTGGTCTGCATCATCAAGACTTCCTTCCAAAAAGCGTCTCAACCCATGAAGCACTGTTTTTTAGAA